GTAAATATTTTAATTAAAGAATCTACTAAACCCTTTGGATTCCTTTCTTGGCTAATCACATTTTTTTCAGACCTTATCAAATGAAATCAGGATTTTTCTCTCTCCATTTCCACCCTTTCAGTTGCTTACCTTGTGCCATATGTGTGAGTTTAGTGCCTGCTTTCCTCGTTTGAAGAGACCATTTGGTAGCCTTTCAGAAGCGGCATTTCTTTAAACCATTCCAAAAAACTTGATGCTGTTAGAAAACTTGGCCACCTTCCTGATTGCTCCTACCTCCAAATGGTTTAGGAACAAGTTAAAAAGCAATGATCCTAATGCAGATCCTAGGGACGGGAGGAGAAGAGTTCATCTATGTTCACTGCAAGTTGTGTCCATCTATTCTTATTCTCTGCATTGGACACTTAATCTGACATTGATCCATAAAATGTCCTTGACTTCTATTTCATTATTGTCAGACTTATTCTGATGGCTGGGAATTCTGGAGTTGTAATCCGGTGGGTACACTAGTGCCTACCCTAATGATCCACATTTATCTATATTTCACTTTTTGGTTATATGTTTATATGTTCACCTTCTATCTCATCAGGGACTGTTCTTTCTGAACCAGATAAGGCCGTCTCCTGCTGGCTTCCCCCAAGGAACTTCATAAACATTGTTATTTTAAAAGCTGCTCAATTTCTTTATTAACATTTTAAAATATTTGAGAAGAAGAGGGCAGGGGCAGATGCTGGGCAAGGTGATCTGTACAGAACCCTGCGGCACTGTTGTCAGGATGACTAACATACTGGAAGGCTGTATTACTCATTCACATGACCTAAGAATCATTTTCAATTCATATATTTGCTGGTATCAACCCATCTTAGCAGCAAACCAGTGCATGCTTGTTGAGAATATCTCCAAATTCAGTGGGGCTTTCTCTCAGCCTGAGATGCGTGCAGTAATGATGGTAAACCATGGCCCTTCAGCATTCACTGAAGACAATTCCCAGCACGCCTAGTCAATAAAGCCACTGGGGAAAGGTGCTGGCAACCGTAGTTCATCCAGAAGACTGCAGGTTCTCCTTTTCTAGGAATGGTAGAATTCTAGCTGAGGGTGGGATAGGAATACTGGCTGCACACCTTCGGTCTAGTGCAGCAGTTCAAAATATTAACTTGGTAAATAAACCTTTGCACAGCACAGCGTGTTAATAGTGGCTTGTCCTCCAAGATGGCTATTTACTTGACTATTACAAAAGGATTTCCTTCTAGAACACTCATTCACTCACACATTCACACACAAATGGATTCCTTCCTAGAATACACAGACACACACAAATGCACACATTAAAAAAAAAAGCTTTTTCTTAAAAATCCCTCTTTTCTGACATCAGGAAGAACTTTTATTCATCCATGATGGCATTAAGATGGTTGATCTAAGCAACCATACAAGTCGGTCAGGCTACAATCATTTTAGTTGGAGTGCACACATCAAAGTTATGATGCTGCTGCTCTGAATGGTTTCACTCAGAAAAATAATGAACTGTGCCACCAGTAACATTCCCAGGATTCTCACATGCAGCATCTGGATAAGACCTTTTTTGGTGAGAACACTTGACCTTAAGCTCTGATGGCAATCAAACTGGGTGGTTCTGTATATTTACTTGAATTAACAGCACTTCCACTGATATTAACCCAGGGAGCCACTGGGACGGCCTCTGCTGGGTGCCAAATAAGACTTGGCTATTTTTATGACATTGGAGCCAGTGAGTGAGCTTCCCAGGTCCCAGTCTAGAGACAGGCAAGTTGTTTATATATTCATCTTATAGTGACCTGGATACTGGAGTCAGTTTTTAGAAGGATGTATACAAAGGATAACATAAGAGCCCTTGTGGTACTCCATAGCTGGTAAACTGGAGCCTCATCTCTAGGCAGACATGGGAGGGAGGTGGAATTTAAAAGTCCTTCATTATAACCATCTCCCATCTGCTGGGGATTCATTACATATCTGCCTCTAACACCACCTCCATTTCTACATCCCAAAAACGGGGACAGTAGTGCTATCTCACCTGCTGATTACTTATTTAAAAAACAGTATATCTTTTGGTCTTCTGGAACTTCAAAGCAGCATTAAAATATCCCAGTGTTACAAAGTGACCTCACCACCACCACCACTTTTCATGCAACATTTTTTTTAAAATAAAAAGGATACTACCAATGCATCTGTCAGTGGTATAATTTTAAATTAAAATCACTAATATTATTCTGGCACAAAAACACCTAGCTGCGCCTTCTAAATTAAAAGGCAACGATCGAAGAGTTGCAAACAAGATATCTCTCCGCTCCATTTTCAAGCTTGTTTTGTGTTGTAAGAAGTGACCACAGCTGGTTGAAAACAAGATCTTTGAAGAGTTTGGTTGAAGGAGCTTCTTCATTTCCTTGCTACTGAGTTAAGGAGATACTGGATTTCAAGATAAGTGCATAGGTTTTGCAGGTTAAAAACCCACTAGTTAATCTTAAGGCAAACTATCCAGGGTCCCAATAAGTGAATGGGCAAAAGGTCCCCTCGATGTCCCCAGAAAAGCTGAATGACTTCATTTCTAAGCCAGCAAGACCGCTATATTCACATCTAGCATTTACACAGGGGGTCAAAATGTACGTAACTTCACAGTTAAGAATGTACTGAGTTCCATCCCAAGCACCTCCAACCTGGATTCTGATGAGATACAGCATTTAGGAGCCAGCTTTCCTTGCAAACTAGGAGAGTTGTTGCTGTTATTCTCAGAAGAGAATACTTGGCTGAAAGTGCTCGAGCTATGATTCAACACAAGGTTGTTCCTGTTGCAACAGGAGTCTCGACTGGCTCCTTCTAATTTCTAGAATCATGCCAAGTAGCCCCTCCCAACTTGCCCCCTTAGGAAGGACAAGAGATTGCAATCTTGCTCCTTGGTGCAATCCAATTCATTTCCATCTGCACAAATTTTGAACAAGCCATTTGTCGGTGAGGGAGGGAATGTATTTTTAAAAAGAGGTAGGATGAGGCAAGGTGACAGGAAAGAGGCAACCACTGACCAGACAGGAGGCAACTACAAAATCTAAACCAGTCAAACCCAATCTGTTCAGCCCAGCTGCAGTGCTGGGAGAAAGAGAGATATGCACCAGATCCACAGGGAGTAAGGGCACTCGGCTGCCAAAGAAAACTCTAGGCTGCTTTCCCTGTAGACTATAATGTTTTTTTCTTCCTTTTTGCAAGGAACAACCCACCATTAAAGGAAAAGCAGCTTAGCAAAGAGGAGTTCCGGTCTGTTTGTGCCCATCTCCACCAGAGAACATGAGATTGTTCTCAGCTGCAATCCAAGCCGCTTCTAGAGGAGATGAGGCTTGGAGCCCTAGTTCCAGGGGTGGGGGGTCTGCTTTTTCCTGAGCTGAAAAATACAATATGGAGAGGTGGGGAGGCAAGAGGTCATTGTAGTTTTCAGTGATGCTAATCAAGCCAATCCAAGACAAAGGATACTTCCTGCCCTACCCTCCCATTTAATCACTGTTTACAAAGCCTCCGGATCATTTCCCTGTTTCCTCTCCCTTCTCCATGGCTGGAGAAAAAAAACAAGCAAAGAAGTAAGCCCTTTGGATCACAGGAGTCCATTGCTGTCGATCAAACAGTGAGCAGCACATCTTGAACTCGCAACTCCAGAGAATGGGGGGAGGATTTTAAAATTAACTTTGTGCTTGTGCCTTTCCATTCTGACTGACGCAAATGCTTCCTCTGTTGATAGGTAAACAATGCTTCTCAGCACTAGTGCTGAAAACAGTTCTGCTCCTATGGCCTACTTTGCTAATTAAATTTTGTGAATTTCAGCAGCTGCTTAGAAGACAACTCCTACAGAAGATAGATGGAAAATTATTTGCATTTTCAAAGAGATAAAAAATATAGCCTGGCAATCATACTGTTTACTTTATTTCAGCATGGGTTTCTGGCACTGGATTCAAATCTCTCTCTGAAACTCAAAACTCATTCAGGGACAGCCTTTTGTATTTGTATTTGTCTATCTATGTTCAAAAGCTTCCCTTTTCACCCCGTACTTGGAAAATTATTTCACTCCTCTGAGTTGCACCTTCTTCTTCTTCTTTGGGGCAAAACAGACTGCCATATGTGGTAGCTTACTAACAGTGGCTTCAGAGAAACATGCCGGATGAAGTTTGCCTGGGCAGATGATGTTGCTACAAGAGGGATAAATTTATCTTCCTTTCTCCCCAAAAGCCAAACTGGCTGGAGATTCTACAATTTCCAGCTTGTGACCTGACTCACTTATCTGAGATCTATAACAGTTCAATAAACCAGTTGGTTTTTTTTAGCAATAGATTCAGTCTTTTCTCTGTATGAATTTGGGGCTGTAAAATAATGTTTGTTCTGGCAGAAATGCCAATTCCTTGTCTCAAAAGCCATGTCCTTATAGAGCTGTGGTTAAAGTACTGAACATCTGGACGAACAAGATCTAGTCAAGAACGATCCTCTGCCATGGAGGTTCAGTGGATGAATTTGAACTAGTATCTCTCTCAACCCTATTTAGGAAGGCTATGGGGTGGGGGGAGAATTTGGAGGAAAAGAATGCTATGTAATTTTCTGTTTAAGCTCCTGGAATAAAGGTGGTATATACATCTAGCAAAATAAACATTTGCTGGTAACTGTTAATAGGCTGCTGCTGAAAGCACAAGCAAAGAATCATTGCAAAAGAAAAAGAGGCGGCATTTATGGAAAGATGAATGAAAGGATGGTCCTAAACAGAAGGTCCCTCTGAAAGCTAAGATGCAGTGACCTGCCCGATGAAGTTGGTGCAAGGACAATTGGAGAACAGAGCGCAGCGCATGCCAAACTAGAAGTGCTATTGAGACAGCAGACCATGAAACTGCTTGGACATACTAATGTAAGAAGGCGGTTTAAGAAGCAGCCCTTTGACTTTACATTTGCCAAAGCCATGTCACTAGCACTAACATCACCCTTTCCCCGTCCCCTCAGTCACTCACCAGAAGATAGATGCTCCCCTGGATAAGAAATATGAAACAGCACCGAGTCAGCTGCATATCTTCAGCCTCTTTGCTCTCCTCCTTAGTGATCTAAGAGAGCTCTGTAGTGCCTCCTTGTTTTTGTTTGGTGTGTGTGTGTAGGGGTGGGGGGAATGATCTGGCCTCTGGCCTCCTAGGATCCCCCCATTCCAGGTTTCGTCTTGATAGTCTCTTTCCAGCCAGGCATGGGCAAAACGCAGCCTTCTTCTCACCCTCTGCAGCTGGAGATCTCCATGTGGCTGCTGCCTGCTTCCAGCTTTGCTGGAGACTCGGGCAAAACTCACTCCAGTCTCTCGCTGCTTCCCTCCCACTGACAGGTGCCACTGCTGGAGCAGCGGAGTCCTGCCTTAACCCTTTCCTGTCTGCAAACTTTGAAACTCAGCTCTGAACTGGAAACTTACTATAATACTTTGAAAAGGAGGAGGAGGAGGAGGAGAACTAAGCTCCAGCACATCTACCCCCTTCACAGCCGGGCTGGGATCCAAGAGAGGAAAGCAAGAAGAAATACAGAAAGCAAAAAGAAAGGCAAGAAAGAATACAGTAGCACTGTAGTTATCCAGTATTAAAATGACCAAGAAGATTTTGATAGCAGTTTAGAGGGATGGGTAAAGATACAGATTATAATGATAATGTAGGAAAATAGGCAAGTTACTTCAGCAAGGGATTTTGTGAAAGAGAAAGATAAGCCCCGAATGTGACCGATCACAGAATTTGAAAGGTTGCTTCTGATGCCTCCAAACCAGCCATTCCAGCACCCTGTTCAACAGTGCTACCAAGGCAAAGGGGCTTTCAGAAAAATGCCACTTTGGGGAGGGGTTTCCCCCCCCCCAGGACCCCTTTAGAAGCACCATCCCCCAGATTTTCCTGTCCTTACCAAATCCCCCCCCCGATGTTCTTTCCCTTCTCCTCCCTCTCCTTCTTTCTCTGTTCTTTCTCTCCTTACACCATTCCCCTTCCGATGGTCTGTTATATTTCAAGGTCATCCTTTCCCAACCTGTGTCCTCTACTTGTGTTAGGACTGCGCCACATCTCTGGATCTTAATGTGAATGATACAAGGCTGGGCTGAAATATTTGAGGCTCTGAGATGGCAAACCCTCGACTATGGATCGTCTACCTAGACAATTCCTGTTTAAAGCCTGATGAGGATGAACTATGGGCTCCAGGTCCAATTTGCTGTAAAGGAGGAGTTGAACACGAGAACTTCCCAGTGAGTCATACCCATATGAAAAATACCCTGAATATTAATTAAGCTTTTTGCTCTGTTCAATTGTTTATTTTTGTTCCCCCTCGTCACTTAAGATTTGATTCATTTATGCATTAGTGCTCTTATGTTTTAGTAGTATAATCATTTAAAAATTTCATTTCACTTCCTCTTCTTTTTCTCTCTGTAACTTATCACTTTACAATAAAGACTGGATATGGCATGTTATATACATTTAGGATCAGATGTAGCTTAAACCATCTGTGCTGTTATTTGGTGGGTAGAGAGAAGCTTTGCATGCCAAAGATCATAGATTCAACACTTGCTTCTTCAAGCAGGACTATAAAAAACAAATTTGGGTGAAATCTTAAGAGAAATGCTTTGACTAGAATTGATTGCCTTGAACTAATAGATCAATAGCCTGATTTCATAATACATTCTAGGACTACATTACTTACTGTAGGTAGCTAGACTGCCTTATCTCAGAAGAAAACTTCTCTTTTCTGAATTAAAATGAAGATGCGGGTGTACCTTTTCTTAAATAAAACCAAAGAGCTAGTGGCCTTTACTTAATAACTTCCAACCCCTAGCAAAACCCTGTCTGTCCTGGTAGTACCACTGGACAGCAGAATGCAAGTCTAGGCTATGCTTTTCTACCTTGGCAAGTTTAAGATGAGTGAACCTCAATATTTAGTATTTCCCAGCATCCCATTGGCTGGGAAATTCTGGGAGTAGAAATCCACTTAGCTTAAATTTTCCAAGGTTGACAAACACTAGTCTAGGGACTAATGATGCATTCCTGCAGTTTCTTACTTGCCGAACACAGCATTGGAGCTGGATAGAGAAGTGCAACAATAGACTTCTTGCAAGTTTAAGAAAAATGAGCCTTTCTTCTTTGAAAAACAAATAAAGAAAGAAAACCAGGAACTGATTGTTTCTCCACAAGGATACGTCCAAGCCATTTCTCTACATCTTGGATCGTTCTTTAGCAGGTAGCAAAACAATCCACAGCTCAGCCTACCATATTGGTGTAGGAAAATCAAGTATCAACACTTTCTTCAAGTGATACTGTGGAGACTTTTCACACTGATAGGATGATCAATGCAACTATGATTTATTTTACACATTGGCTGAATTAGAAGGGGATAGAAAGATTTCTACAAACAGAGAAATAGATTATCTTTTGTCAATGCAAAGAAGTTGGAGATGGTGCTTCTGTGCAATGGACACAAAAAAACTGAAAGCCTAAAAATCAGTTTACATATTCTCTATTTAAAAGGCTCTTGGGAAATGTTGATGAGGAAGAGTTTCAATCTGAGATACTGGATACAATAGATATTCGCACACTGTAGAACATGAGAATTGTAGTCCATGCCATTGTAAAGGTATTGGCTATTCTAGGAATATTGGGCTGAACAAGTAATGGGCTAAATAGAGCAATTGGTCTTGCTCTACAACTAGTTTTGTTGGTACATTAATCCATAATTCCAAATCAGTTGTAATTTGTTTAATAAACCATGGTTAAAGAAATAATGGCCTCTAGAAATCATGGCTTTCTGTAAGTCTAATCTGTAATTCAGATCATTAGATAAATAGGGTTGGTTAAGATCCGGGTTAGACAATCTGCTATCCTCCAAGGACTGTAGTCTTCATTTCCTAACAATCACAATTAACAAAACTGATCGATATGTTTCCATAAGAAATGGTTTAGCCGAGGAAGCAAAAGTGATGAAATCCTTGGTGCTTTTCTTACAGACATTTCATTACAAAGCTAGGTAATATCATCAGTGCTAGAAGGGAGTGAGGTTTACTCTTATTTTTATATACTATTGGCTTACCCTATCAGCGTTGGTTGCAGCATTCTTGGTGGTTCGTTGATTAGGCTATTGATTATTGTTATCTTGTTTGTCTGCTGATTAGGGTATTATTTGCTTGACTGTTAATCTAGTATTAATCCTGGTGTTAATGAGGTGATAAGCTTTGGATGATGATTCTTCCTTTGAGCAAGAGGAGATAAATGGGGCCCACAACTGGAGGAAAACTATTCTGCTTCAAATCTGATCTGAAACATGAGGTATGGAGGTTCTCAAGAGAATGAACACTTGATTTAAACTTATCTGCAACCGTATGTAGGCATCGATGCTGCGAAGGGGTTGATGGGTAAGCATTGGTTATGGATGGTTGCAGATGGGCCAGTGCACACACCTCGCAAGTCTCAACTAAGTGTTGTGTTGTATGGAGATGCGGGTCCTGCAAGCTGATTGGTTGAACCGACTTCCCTTTGGGAGGTAGGCTAGAAGACAAGACACACTGTTGTTTAAGCAACCCTTAGCCAGAACATGAACATTCGCAGAAGTATAAATGTGACAGCTATGCAGCTGTTTCCAAAGACAGACACATAATATTCCCTGATGTGCAGTGACACAGAAGTCTAAATCATGTCTAACAAGGAACACAGAAGGCAAGTGCAAACGTATAGTCAGTTCCATATTAGGAGACTTCTGTGCTTTTAACAGTTACATTTCAGATGAAAATTAAACAGATGCAGAATTTTCTAGTACAGAAGAATACATTGCTTTAATTTCTGCTTGCAACACAGCTGATAAATGCATAGGACCCACAGAAAGTTCTGTTATGAAAAGGGATGACATTCCTTGAGAACACACTAGAATAATCTGAGCCCCTCAGAAGGCAGACTGCTGAACAAATGTTTCCACTGCTTGATAGTTCCTTTTCTTTTTAATTTAGTCAACTTTGATTACATGGCTAAGGGCATCATGGCACTACAAAGATAATCAGTCAAAAAGCACGCGGTAGCTATAGAAATCCAACTAGTTTTGCCCACATCAGATCAAGCCAATTAATCACCCTTGCTTTACAAAAAGAAATCAATGTTTCCATTGAGTTTGGGAACCTGCTCTTTAACTTTAAAATATGCACATGCAACATGCAAATAAAACTGGGACTAAATTGCACAGAAGGTCACCACTAAACATTTCAGAAGGCTGACCCAGATTCCCCAGTGTTGAATTCTGGTTGGGACAACTTGAGAGCGGCTTCTCTTGAGAGGCATTGTGGAATTGGGGTGAAATGTGGGAGTGGGAGCAGAAGGGGGTTTGTATAGAAAGATCTGCTCAGCACTCTGATCAGAAATGTGGGCAGCCATTCATAAAATGGGCATGGACCCTGGTTTTGGGCCCTTTGACTTGTGGAGGTATCATTACATCATGTCTGGTAGTTTTTTTCTTCAGCCCGCTCTGATTACAGATAAAAAGATTTATATTCAAAAAAACAAGAGGAAGATTAGCTTCTCCCTCCATTTCTATTTAACTTGCCTATTCCCAGCATACAATATACAATTTCAAGGCTTTTTATTGCAGCTTATCATTTTATTTCAATTTTATACAGTCATTTAAAATGATGTATCCCAATACAAAGGTTCTTTTCTCAAGGAAAATAAAAATATTTCTGTATTTTCCAAGACTGAATTCTAATTGCAGAGATATTCTACATCTAAGGTAAGGAATTTGCTCAAAGGATTATAGACTGTCCTCATTTAAAGACTGTTTGCAGTTACAATGATGATTAGAAAATAACTTTATAACCAGTCCTTACATTTACTATCTCTGTAATGTAAATACAAAGGAAAGCTGAAGTAAGATGGTAAACCTAATATTGGTTTTGTTGTGCAATCGCTTCACTTAATGACTAACTTGCTAGTTCCAATTGTGGTTGTTAAATGAGGTCTGTCTATATTTCACTCATTCCCTCTTGATTGGTTCTCACAATTAATTAAGCCTTAAACCCAGGCAAATAAAACATAGTTGCTGCATTCACATAATTTATGTGGCCAAAATCCACCCATTTTATAGCTTAACATGACCTGTTCATGCAAAATGTTAAGAAAATTGTTAGATTCATATAACATACTGTACTACCTATTTTAGTTTAATCTGGTATATTGTACAAATCTAACCTCTAAGTCTTAAAAAGTAGAGCAAGTATAGGGAATGTTTTATTATTAAAATCCAATTCACAATATCCCTGATTTAGAGCACCAGAATGATTCCATGGCTCTGTTTACTC